CATCCCATCCCATCCCATCCCATTTCATCCGTCCCATCCCGCTGCGTCGCGGCCGGCCGGGCCGGACCGGGCCGGACGGTGCACCTCTTCTCCATCAAAACAATTCGATATATCGATTATACCACACCGGTACACGGGCGACTGAGTACCCTCCCCTTCTCTCTCTCTCTCTCTCTCTCTCTCTCTCTCGCTCTCGCTCTCTTGCTCTCTTCTCGGAACGCCCCTCGGAGCACCAACCCGCTCTCGGCTTTCTACGCACGTCACGAAAAATTGCGCCGTTGCTCGCACCCCCGAGCACCCGCACTCCCTTCTCGCCCATACGCGAACAATTAGCCCCGTCTGAGGATTACGTCGTTGCTCCGATGGAGATTTAACAGCACAATTTTAACTGAGGGGGTGACGTACCGAACTCGCTTACTTCAACATAGATTTATCATACATGCTACTGAGGAAAATGTCTGGATTAATTGGAATTCTTTGAAGTTGAAAATGAGCAAACCAGAATTTTAATTTTCCTCAGAAAATTTTGCAAAATTTCCTGACTTTTCTCCGATTTCTCTGACCATTCTCAATTTCCCTGACTATTTCCTGATTTCCAGTTTTGTAGCTGGATGTTGATATTTCGTACAGGATACATTCTGACCCACGCAAACTTTATACGTATATTCGGGAGTTCATTTATATAAAATTTCCTTTCCCAAATGTCTAGTGTCCATATTTTTCATCTAATAGAATAAAGTAATCTAAAAAGTCTCTAAAAAATGTCTTACAAATCTGAAAATACTGGTCTTCTTATGTTAAAGAAAAAAAAAACGAATGACTAAAGTAAACAGACTTTATCTTTGTAATCGAACTTTAAATTGAAATTGAAATCTGTCTGCTAAAATCTACTTGAGATATCCTGAAAAATATGATTTTCTTCTCAAACTGAAATGCAAAAAATTGTATTTCAACAAATTATAATTATTTGAAAATATTATTGTGTCTCGATATTTTCTCTTCCCAAAAAATTCTCAGCAAAGAAAAGAAGTTGAAAAATATTTAGAAAGAGAACGGCGGCTTATTTCCAAGTGATATAATCCGAGTTTTGTCGAGCTGAACGGAGTTTCGACCGACTTCTGACAGACATCGCTGAAGCGATCTAGAAGAAATCTACTTCAAAGTAAATTACATAATTCAGATAAATAAAATCTTATCCGCAGATCTGAGCCTCAAAACCACGCATTGCTGTAACATTCTGTATTGCGCGTCTTTTTATATAAATATCTACAGAGGACAATGTTCGACGTCCTCAGATAAATATGCGAAGTTTCCTAATCAATACTTTTACACTACAATCTACAAGATAAAAATCGGTGTTCGATATAAAATAGAAATCTGATAATATCTGTCTGCTTGAGACTTCAGTCGTTCGTTTTCTATCTTTAAAATAAGATATCAGTATTTTCAAATTTTTGAGAAACCTTTTAGAGAATTTTTAGATACTTTTTCCTATTATATGAAAAATACAGACATTAACTAGAAGGACACGCTTTCACTTCTTTTATTAAGATTCAAGTGATGAGTGATCACAAGTATATGTTAGGCGAAATAATTTATGGCCTAAAAATATCGCAACGGGAGATCTGTCGGTGCATTGATCCTTTGAGCAAACCCTTGTTAAATCCCTCATTAAATCCCAAGACTCTTTCACGGTCGCCAGTTTATTACCTGATTTTCAGCTTAATTTCGGCTTAAACGAAACTTACCTGAGAACATAGGCGTCCACTTGATCGTTACGGCAAAAACTGATGATTTCGCAACGGACTATCTTCAGCAACGACTCCCATTTTTGCCTGCAAAAATAATAGCGATTTATTTATTTATTTATTTGTTAACGTGACAGATCAATTGTTTAAATTAATTAAAACATTAAAGCATTGAAAGATCTAGCTTCGATCGGTATAGACCTTTAGTTTATCGATTGTGTTCTCACATGTACGGTCCAAAAATAAGATTCTTATTGTTTAAATTAATTAAAACTTAAACACAAGTCACTGTACCACATGTGTCCTTAAAAATGTCAAGAACTGTGTTACTAGAATGCTATTTTACGATCAGTAAAATATAAACTATAAAAATTTGTTTATACATGGTCTTCTTGTTTTTATCATACCAAAAATTTAATAGACATCTTTTAAACATTGTAACTATGTGCTATTCGATAAGTTTGATAAATTTTTCGTATATAATTTTATCACCCTAAATTACACAGGCACACAAATTTAAAGTTGGATCCGGAAATTAGACCATGTATTCTCTTATATATTTTGATGCTATAAATCCGATGTCCAAATTGCTCCATCACGTCATAATTTTTTTATCGTCGGAAAATAGCTCGGTTTTCCAGTTTCTTTAAAGCCATTTATAGCCTGGTTTTTAATATCTTTTATGCCATCCTATGAATTCAAGTACGTAATATATAGTCATTTTTAATCTATCAGCTTACATATTAAATGATTCTAAAAATACCGGAAAATCAAGTTATTTTCCGTTAATAAAAAAAAATTATGACGTGCTGGAGTAATTAAACATAAAAATACCGTGGTCCAATCTCCGAATTAAAAAATATTTTGTGTATCTGTGTTATAATTACTTTCTTAAAATAATATTTTATGACGAAATCAACGTCCATATAAATAATTCACAAATTTTATTAATTATTTTTGGTATCATATACTTAAAAAATATAGGGATGGCAACTGAGTGACAGCTATGCAAGTTTTGTAATCTTTATATTATGTAAAATTAATGTACATACATTAACTATATAAAACAGTTTGTTCCATTATATATCTATATATACATTAATTTTACACAAAATTTGTATAGTTACTACCATTATGTCTTTTTTTGTGAATGTATAATATAATCTTGATTTTTATAATTAAAAAATTTCATTGAAATCAAAAGATTTATAAGAGAATAATTCTTTAACCATATATTTACGCGAAAGGCGTACTTTTTGTTACATTCATTACACAGTAAGATTCTCATGATAAAGTTAGACATATTTTCCATGGAACATATTTAATATTCGAGGGATTATCTTAATCTTCTCTAAATTGAAAAATGATTTGTCTTTCAACCATCCAATGAATGGTTGAATAATATAAGTAATTCTTGTTCCGTCGTTCGAGAGAACTGCTGTTCGAGGAGAACTTGATCTAATTCCACGAAGGGTTCAGCGATTATAACTTCGCGCGTGTTAACGAAGCCACGGATCAGCATTTCGTCCGGCTTGCGCTCGCTTCCTCATCAGCCGGCAGTGGTAGACTTCTAAATTTATTGTCGTCGCGATATGCAAAAATAAACAGTAGTCGCCCGGCCTTACCCGTAGTAGCATCTCAAGAGGTTCAACGACACCCTGACGTAAACCCTGCACGTAAACAACCACAACAATCGGATCGCGCCGTTATCAATCAGCGGTTACATAATTGCCACGTAAACGCGCTGCGTGTAGATATATACCTACAGGTTGAGCAAACCTTGCTCATATCTTTTATTGCCAATTACCTTCAAACATTTCAATTATTAATTTTCGATGTGAGATATGGGCAATTGAGAGCAAACGCAGTTAAATTTAGCGTATATCTTATTTATGTATAATAATACCAAATAATAAGTTTAACATTATTTCTTTATTAATACGAACGTTTCGACTTTGTTTAAGTCATCTTCAACGTATATTACTGCTTATAATTTGAAGTTTTCATTACTTGGTAGGTTGATTATCAATTCGAGTATTGAGAATAACCTCCTTAACCAGCTGTGTGACTGTTAAGATCCAACACACCAAGTATAACATTGTAGGAGCGCCATAATGATAATATGCAATTAATGTTGATTAACTTCATTTTCAGAATGTTAATTACGTTAGAACATATTCCTGTCTTATTTCGTGAACATATTTCGATTATTTTTCTTGAAGTCGGATATCGCATTGAAAATTTTAAAGTATAATTTAAACGCTTGTTATGTTTTAAAACAATGACAAAGTAAGTATACAAGCATAAAATAGATAACTAATTTTATTAAAATTGAAGTTATTCTCATATATTATATTAAAAATTTTCATGATCACCGAACAAACAAGTTTGAGACTCAGAAGTCAGAGATGAACATATAGTAGCAGCAACTATATGAAAACTGTACAAGTTTTATATTATGTAGAATTAACGTACTCGTACATAGAGAAGTGTTGAATAAACTACTTTATAGTTACTGAAATTATAAAAGATTATCTCAGAGTAAAAGATATTGTGGTATCAAAAAGGAACTACATAAATTTTATTTGTAGAATTAATGTATACATAATGCAGGATTGGTAAAAAATATGTTTTAAATACATTTTAAACAATTTAAAACATGCTTAATTGATATTTTTAATATGTTTTAAGTATATTTTTTTATAGTACTGTTTAAAGCATATTTGAAGCATTAAAAACATATTTAAGAAGAAACACAATGTTTTATTCTTAAAAAATACATCAGTCTTTACCAATCCTGACATAATGTTGAATAAACTACTTTATAGTTACTGAAATTATAAAAGATTATCAGAGAAAAAGATATAGTGGTAACAAAAATAGTGACAACTATATAATTGTAGTAACTATTTTATTGCAACTATAATAGTCTAGTCAACTATGTACATGAATTTTACATATATGTCATATAGTTGCAACTGTAAAACAGTTTATTTAACTACGCATATTAATTCTATATATGAAACCTGAATAGTTGCAAGTATAAAACAGTTCATTCAACTATGCACATTAATTCCACGTATAAAATTTGTACAGTTGCAATTATAAAACAATTTATTCAACTATGCACATTAATTCTGTACGTAAAATGTCTGTAGTTGCAATTATAAAGCAGTATATTCAACTGAACACATTAATTTTACGTGTAAAGCTTGTATAGTTGCAACTATTAAACAGTTTATTCAACTTTATGCATTAATTCTACATATAAAATTTGTACAGTTATCACTATGTCTTTCTCTAAAGATGTTAACGAATTGAAAGAGGGTAAAAGTATTCCGTTTCATGCATAATTCACATAATACATCACTGTCTTCATCTACGTCCTTGTTGTTTATTATTTATTCTTGTTGTTCACCGACTTAAATACGAATAAATGATCATAATGTGTATCACGCGTGAGAAAAAATAAAAATACACCCCGAGAAATTTATCGATGTCAATACTTTTAACTCTGATATCAACATAAGAATCCACGATTGGTTCCATCACGTAGACCACATTTACACGGCATTCTTAATAGGATTTAATAACATCCGTAGTTGTGAAACTGATCAATCAGAGTCGTTTCATTCTTCGGAGAAACAGCTATGATTGGACAATTTCATAACGAATGTTATTAAATCCAATTAAGTGTGCCATGTAAGAGAGGTCGTAGATTTTCACATTTGCGGATGTGCTCCGAAATAAGCGCCTAAATTATTCCAGACTGACGTAACGGCAATAAAAGCGAAAAAATATCTAAATTCTTAAGAAATGTCAAAAGATGTATCCTAGACGGCACACAATATTTATAAAATATTTACAAAAATTTATAAATATTTACAAAATTTATAAATATTTTGTAAATATTTTTGTAGTCTTAGATTGCACAGATCATAAATATTTATTGTAAATGTCACAGTAAATGCTGTGAAGATACTTAATAAGACATTATAATCCAAGTAAAAAATATTTATTAGAAATATTTATTTATCATAAATATTACATAAAATATTTTAATTTAATCTATATATATTTTAATAATATTTTGAATAAAGCTTTATATAAAAAATATGAAATATCTATATAACATTTCACAAAATGAATATTAATAAATATTTGTCATAAATATTCTATGCTGTCTGAGATTAAGCCGTTTTAACTAATTTTCAAAGAAAGTTTCTTTTTACTTCCACTTTTCTTTTCTTTTCGAGAGTTGACAGATTACTTTTGCACGTCTTGTTTCTGCATTCTTTACAGTTCCTACATTCTTTACAGTTCCTACATACTTTACAGTTCCTACATACTTTACAGTTCCTACATTCTTAACAAACGTAACTACAGACAGGATTTTCGAAAGCAGGTAGGATTTACAAAAGTTTTCCATTATTTTCTTGACAAATAATAAGCTTTTATACTTAAGCTTTTATTATTCGCCTGTCACGAAGCATTACTTTTTCGAAAATTCGAATGAATCTTATCAATCTTATCACACCTGGCGAGTCTCGCAGGTGGTGCGGTACCCGAATTTAGGGTTTATTTTTGGAAAATCTCGAAAACGTGTACACGCGCGTAGAAAATCGACCGGGACGACGTGAACCATCAGTCTAGCTTATGACTCCCAACGATCGACGCCGGCGCGGCTCGTCACCGTCCTGGCCTGGCCGGCGTCGACTGTCATCGTTCTCGCGGGGTGGAGGAGCAGGCGGAAGAGGAGGTCGTATCGGAGGCAGCAGCGAGACGCCGGCGGGCGGCGTACTTACCGCGGTATCTGCCGGAGATCACCCTGATGCTGCTTGAGACCCTTGGAGCTGATGAACCAGAGCTCGAGGAGCTTCTCGACACCCTCGAAGAACTGCACGTTGTCGGCGCAGTCGTCCTTGGTGTCCGCCATCCTCTCGCTGTCGTCGGTCTCGCCTCGCGGTCTCGTCTTCGCCCAAAAAATTGCAAAGCGACACGCAATTGTGTGACTTCACGTCTCTCTCCTTCTTTCCTCTTCTATCTCCGTCGCGGCTCACGTATCTCTAATCTTGCACCGAGCGAGTGAAATTTTTGTGAATTTACACGGAGCGATAAGACTCCAAAGCACTACTCCCGGTAACGCGCGCTCGTAGACTGACTGACACACTGGCCCCGCCAGAGGTACACCAATTGACTGATTGACGGACGG